CCTTATTTTAGCAAATCAAATAATGTATTTGGCATTTCTGAGATGAATATTTATATATTTTCAACCAGAATTTTGAGTATTATTAGTAGGTTAAAATTAGACAACTTATGGACTTGCTTGGCAGACGAGTGGTTAAGACTCCACGTTTCCAGTGCATGAGGTGTGGGTTTGATCCTTGGTCTGGGAATAAGAACATATATACCATGTGGCATGGCCAAAAAGTAAAAATCTTTTTAAAAATTAGATAACTGAAAAAAATAAAATAAAAATTAGATAACTGAAAAGTTGACAACTTTTGAAAATCAAATGTTAAAGGAATAGTCTCAAAGATATAGTTGGTTAATACTGTTTTCAATTTATGTATCTTAAAAAGGAAATGGAATAACCTGACATTTCACTAATAGATTAGTTTTTCCCAATATTTTAAGCCTTGATTTTTTTCTGCAAAATCATAATCCAGTCTGTATCATTAGTGAGTTTTACCAGAGAAATAAAAACTCTGTAATTCCAAATCTTGTTAGCAATTTTCCTAATTCATCCTCCCATTCATTCAAGCGTACATTGAATGTCTAAAATCTATCAGGCACTGCTAAATACCAATGAAACAAAAAGCAAAACATGATTTAAATCTTACATGATGCCAAAGTGAAATGTTTCTCTGTTTGCATCTCATTTTTTAATCTTCCCTCCTTCTCACTCCCCTCAAAATACTTTACTGTTTTGAGATGGTGGTTCAGTTTCTAACTCATCTCCAACTCTTTGCAACCCCATGAACTGTAGCATGCCAGGCTCCTCTGTCCATGGGATTTCTCAGGCAAGAATACTGGAATGGGTTGCCATTTCCTGTCCAGGGGATCTTCCCAACCCAGGGATCAAACCCAGATCTCTTACATTGCAGGCAATTGCCTGCATTTGGAGCAGATTTTTTACCAACTGAGCTACTAGGGAAGTTCTACTATTTTGAAGACATAATATCAAATCTTCTAACTACTCCAGTATCCCTAATGAAAACCTTACACTTTGCAAGACTGTTTTCAGCAGCCATCAGGAGATATAAAAAACAAAATTTTTAAAATAAGAAAAGGAAGGAATGGAGGAAGGAAGGAAGAAAGGGAAGAAGGAAACTCAGAGACACAAAAAATAACTCTAAAGATATTTAAACTGGAAAGTATTCTTAGTAGTTGTTTTCTTTTGACAGGTCCTTCATCACTTTGATTCTTCTAGTCAGGAGTCAGTGCCAAAAAGAAGAAAGTTTAGTGAACCGAAGGAGCATATATAAAAAAATTTTTTTCTGCATGTTTGCAGAGTTCTTCACAACATTTAAACTAAAGGTCGCTATTTTACTATTTTAAGGTGTGTTTGTCCTACCTCTGAAAACTTATAGTCTTAAGCAGTCAGTACACTAAAATGAATCCTTAACTATCATATTATGATCCTTAATCTTATCTGAGACAAATTCAAGAGAACTTTTGTATAAAAACAGAAGTACCAGTGTCATAATTCTATTAGTTATCCTCTCGATATTGATGTATCTTCCATTTTGGCAGACACTTCCTTTAAACACATTATTTTTTAAGGCCCTCTAAAAGCCATTTTTTGAAGTAAACAATGTTTATTTTTGTATTAAATTTTTCTAGAAATTCACTTTTTACCTATGTTAAAACTACAGTTTAACTGGCTGTATTTGTTAATTGTGTTATTAAAACAATGTCTTCAGTATTTGATACAGTGTATTAACATGATAATATATAATGTACAATTTAAAATTGGTACTTCACCTTTTTAAATAATTTTTACAAGACAAAATGACTGATTTTAAAATCTAGCATTTTTGGCAGCATAAATAAAATATTGTTCTGTGTCTAGACTCTTTCATGGCTTCTAATTTTTATTTAAATAGTAGAAAATGTTTAGGCACTAATTTTGAAATCATTTTGGTAGATGTTTCTTTCAAGAGTTGAGCACACTTCTTAGAACTTTTGGGTGGTAGTGTGAAAGATATTGTGCCTTTAGTGAGAAACCTGGGACCCGGTTCTAGACTTGACTATTTCTTGTGCTCTGGAAAAGGAAGGCTTAAAACTTAGTCTGTTTGCCTCTTGCATTTTCAGCAGCCATATCCTAAAAAATACACATTATCCATGAACTTGCCGGTAAGAAACAGTAATGGAAAATGTTAGTATGAATGCTGGGGTAGAAATGTGCCTATCCTGTTTAATGTAAACCAAATAAACGTCCACAAATTGACACAGATCAGGTTTTTCTGGAAGAGGAAAGCTAGGGATAAGCTAATTGCCGAAAACAACCAATTTTTAAATGTTTATGTATTCTTAGCTTTATTGGATCCCAACTCATCTCACCTAATTGTCCCAGTATACACTGCTACATAACACACCTGCTACGCTGAGATTGCCCAACAAAAACCTTTGTAGATCGGTAGCTGGTGATAGCTCACTAAACGCTTTGATTGGCCGGTTTAATGGGGGTGGGGATCGCAGCCCTCTTTCCTCTCGCTACCAAGGTTCTTTCATTGGATTGACCAGCTGTCAGGTTAAACCCAAACCTGCCTCCTTTTGGTGGTGTTTGTCTGGAGCGCAACACAATAGCTCGGGGGGAGAGCCTCCCCTCGTAAGCTCTAATTGGCTGAACTCAACCTTGGAGGTTTCTGATTGGTCCAATGAAGAAACACCAAGGTAGGTTGCCTAGTGATCCTGAGGAAGCTGATGTGTTATTCCTTCTCTGCATCGAAGGATCAGGAAGTTTGTTCTCTCTGCGTGGCTGAGAAGTTTTTCACCTAGCAGGACGGGGGTAGGGGGTGGGGGTGGGGGTGGGGACAAATGTCCCCATAAAATAGAGCGCAAGCTGCAACCTGCGTTTGGCTGTAACCCAGGAGTAACGTCAGGTAAGCAACGGGGGAAATACATCTAACGTCCAAAAAAAATCCCTCCAGATATTTTACTTTATGGAGAGAAGGAGGTTTATATTTAATTTTTGGGCCATCGTTTTTTTGTTTGTTTTTTAATAGGATTTTTTAACTAGTAAATGTCCAGGGATGATTAATTCTTCGAAGAAAATCCCCACTTTTTTTTTTTTTTTTGCCCTGAGGATACTAAGTTTCTTGGATTGGATTAGAAAATAAGCCCTATTCACAGTGCCAGATAGGGTTAGCGCCCATAAGCGTTTATTTCATGGTTCTCTTCTTTTTTCACTCTTACTCCTGCCTCCCACCAAGAATTATTTGAAATACAGCCTTGAACAAAGACTCTTGTAAGTCACTTTATTTATATTTATGTTTTAAATGTTCTCATGCGTTTCTGAGTATTCGTTTTAATCAGTATATATTTGTTGAGCAGTTACAACGTTAAAGACATTTGTGCTAGTTGCTATGGGGAATATAAAAACCCAAGAAGACAATATCCCTGCCCTCAAGAAGTTTACAGTTGAGAGACAGCCATATCAAAAGAAAGACTATAATAAATACTTTAAAGGAAGTAAGTATAAACAAAGTTGTTTGAAAGTACAGATGAGGGGGAGACCTAGCCATGGGACGCAGGGTGATGGAAAAGCAGATTCCCTGAAGGCTTTACAGAGGGTCTTCAGTAAGACTTCAAAGAGTGAGTAGAATTTAGAGAGGAAGGGAATGGGGAGAGAACTCCATCCTGTATAAAGGAAGGCATGACATGTTTGTGAAATGGCTTAACAGTACATAATTTGGAGTAATGGGAAATATTGCTAGAAGATAGAATGAAATCCAGTCACAGAGGCTCTTGAATGTGCTCTTTTGACCTTGAAATAGCTATTATTTTCAGTAATTGCTGATTTAAAATACTTATTGTATTTCATCTTAAGAACTGGCATTTAGGTTTATGTAAAGTATGCTAACTTTAAACTTTATCACACATGATAGTGCAGTTTTTCTTGACTGTAGATTTTTAAAACAGCTGTTGTTGTTCAGTCCTTCAGTCGTGTCCAATTCTTTGAGATCCCATGAACTGCACCACACCACACTTCCCTGCCCTTCACCATCTCCTGGAGTTTGCTCAAACTCATGTCTGTTGAGTCAGTGATGCCATCCAACCATCTCATCTTCTGTGGCCCCTTCTCTTGCCCTCAATCTTTCCCACCATCAGAGTCTTTTCCAGTGAGTCAGCTCTTCACATCAGGTGGCCAAATGAACTCCATGAACAGTATGAAAAGGCTAAAAAAAACCCCAAAAGCCTGATATAAAAAGCATGATATAAAAAGGCTGATTTTTTTTTGTAATTGAGAATTTGCTAATCTAAAAACATTCTCTTGCCAGTACTTTTTGTTGTCACCTGTTTATGTATTTGCAAGATGATTAGCCTAGGAATAGAGATGAAAGTTTTTAGCCATATGGAAATGCTATACATGATATTCTGCTATATCATGCTATACATGATATTCTGTTGCTCTCAAAGTGGTTGCATGAAATGAGTCATTTGGGTTTGGAAAAGAAGTATTAGAACATGTATTTACTATTTAGTTTTTCTTAATTTTTTTTAAACTAATTTTTGTGTTTTATAGTGCATCGAATATTTTTAGAAATTATATATAAATTACTGTATGCTCTTTGGAGTCGGATGCTCACATTTTTTTGCTGTTCCATATTATTTAACTTGTGGAGAATCCATTTTGTGAAAGGAATCACAATGATGGACATTCCCTCCTAGGTTATAGGTTATGCACAGGAAATCAGCAGGCTTAAAAAACAATACCATTTCTCCTGGACTTTAGATTTACGATTTGATTTCTTGTCAGTGCCTCCAGTGCAGTTCAACTTGTTATACTTTGGAAAAGATACTGTGTTATCCACCTAATTTTTTCTTGTCGTTACTTTACTCCTTCCTTCCTTTCTCATTTACATTTGTAAATATTTCTTATCTGTATACATTTTTAGTATGCATGCGTTAATATCTAGATGTTTATTTACATAAGCATACATATAGATATTTTTTCATCACCCCTTCCAGAAACAGGTGAGAATGACCACTTTAACTCACCGGGCCCGTCGTACTGAAGTAGGGAAGAATTTTGAAAAGAAGGTAGAAAGTGAGGAAGACATGAATCAAGACCGAAATCAAGACAATGAGGACACTGGAGATTCTAAGGATATCCGCCTCACCCTTATGGAAGAAGTATTGCTCCTGGGACTAAAAGATAAAGAGGTAATGCAGTTTGGTTTGCTTGGCTGTCTCAAAGACTTAAATATTGGAATGTTTTTAAGAAGTATCTGATAAAATATTTTCATTAATGCTAAACTGGCCTTAGAATTGTGCTTCAGCCATCTGGGGCATGGGGAAGTCTGGAAGGATGGCTGATACTTGGAGGGTAAAATCCAGAAGTATAATCACTTGAAGTGTAATTACAGAATTACTCTAAAATTTTAGAAGATACAACACAGTGTAAAGTGTTTGTAGTTTTCCAAATGAGATTGATGGTGAAATGACCTCTTACTAAACTAAGAAAGAGTACCCACACACATTGAAGTCTTCTGGAGCTTTAGGGAGAAAAGTTTTAAATGAAAAGACAAGGAACATGTGTGGCTAACTGCTTACAAAAATAAATAGTGGGTAGATTTCTTTTCTTTTCTTTTTTTTTTTTAGGTTTCTTATAATACAGTAAGAATAACTTCTATTCTGTGGATATTCAGAAGTTAATGATCAACAATTGATGAGGATTATTTTAGAAGATATTTTAAAACTAATTTCATCTTTTTCTTTTTTTCTAATTTTTCCTTTATTAATAGAACATTTGTTTTATAATGAGATTAGTTTTAAGATAGCAAGTCTTGTGACATAATAAAATATTTTTTTGGCTTTTCTACTAGTAGTATACATTATCCTTCATTTGTAATTTAACTATTTATTGTGTTTGCCCTTCACTTTCTTCCCTTATGAAGAGATTATAAAGATATGTAAGTAATATTTTAAACAGTCTACTTCCTTTTCAAGAAGATTTTGGTAAATACAAAAAGGCATATTTATTATTGCCCTCAGTTTTGAAAACATCAAATTTAAATGTTACTTTATGTTTAAAAAATACTAAATGTGGCTTTGATAATTGTCCTTAGATAGAAATGAATTGGCTACATATATCTAGTAATATCTCTTCTTTACTACACTCAACTTGAGAATACACTTGTTTTACTTTGTATTATGCTATTTTATTTTTTTCTCTATCACTTTTCCCTCTTCTGTTTTTTTGTCATGTCAAATTACCAACTTGAACAAGATTACAAGACATTATAGACATTATAACCTGTGTATTGTTAAAACTAATACTAGAGACATGCCTGTGTGTGCTTGGTCAAGACACAAATATACCAGAAAATCTTGCCTGGAAGTATATTTTCCTATTTGCTGAGAAAGTTTGTGAGATTCTAGTTTTATAAAAGTTAAATAAATGAAAAAGCAAAACTGACTCTCTAAGACAAAGTCAGAGTAGCTCTGAAGATTAGGTGGTATAAAGATTTTGAGATGTTTACATAGTGCCTCAGAAACATTCACTGACTATAAAAGAAGAACATATTAGATCTGAAAAGCTGTTTTGTTTGGTTTAGTTTTGAATAGGAATGATTAATTTCCTGCTGAACCTTGATACTAGAATTTTTGCTTCGGTTCTGTAGTGAAACTTACTTTGGACTTGTCTTTTGGACACAGAAACTTGTGTTTCTGAGTTTATAATAGCTAATATAAACTTAAGAAAATAGGATAAAAAAATAAAGAAGCTTGTTTAGAGATATGATCATAGTTGGTGTTTGATATACTGGTAAAACACTGTACAAAGATGGGTAGATAATAGCCACCTTTTGAATTGTTCTAATTTTATTTTGGGAGATAGTTGATACATTTTTAGCTTTCGGTTGGTTCAGAAAGAATGAGAAATGATAAATCCTCAGGCATACAAAAATAGGAGAAGTCAAACTTTCTGATTTATTAAAGTTGTAATAGTTGTTCCAAAATGCCAGTCGCATAACTAGCTCTAAAAATATTACATTGATTTCCAACTCAACTTGTTTTCTTATCTCTCAAACCACTTGTTGATTTATTTAATCAACATTTAATGTGCTTAGCATTATACAGGGCTTCCCAGGTGGCACTAGTGGTAAAGAATCTGCCTGCCACTGCAGGAGACGCTGTTTTATCTCTGGGTTGGGAAGATCCTTGGGAACAGGAAATGGCAACCCACTCCAGTATTTTTGCCTGGAAAATCCCATGGACAGAGGAACCTGGCAGGCTACAGTCCATGGGGTCACAGAGAGTCAGACACGACTGAGCAATTAAGCATAGCATAGCATTATACAGATAGTAAGGTAAATATAAAATAATATATTATCCCTGTCCTCAAGAAACTTGCATTCTAGCTGGGGAAACAAAATCTTTATCTTTTTAAAAATTAAGTTACCCAAAGCTCCAACAACACCAAAATGGATAAAAATGAATCATTCATTTACTTAAATGAGTATAAATATATTTTATATAAAGAATGAAAATGAACATTCTTACAAAACATGTATGATTTTCCTATAATGTTCAGTAAAGGAAGCCAAACACAAAAGAATACATGTCGTATGATTATGTGTATGTAAATTTCAAAAAACTAAGCTATGGTGTTTGGGGTTGCATATTTAGGTGGTAAAATTTTACAGAAAATGGGATTACCATGTTTGTTAGGGTAGTGGTTACCTTTTTGTGAGAAGTAGAGGAGGAGGAAGTGTTAGTGATTAGAAAAGAGCATAAAGGGGCTTTTCTAACAGTTTTCTGTTTCTCTACTTGGAGAAAATTTCATAGATATTCACCTAGGGATAAATCATTGAGCATTTCACTTTTGTGTACTGTGTTCTCTGTGCGTTATATTTCACAATCCAAAAGATTTTTAAAGTAAACAACAATTTAAAAACACCAAGTTTTTCCATGTTAGAACAGTAAGTGCAGAGGAAGTTGGAGGGAGGAAGGATCATCATAGGTTGGAATAATTTGGGGAAGAACAAAAGGCAGTGAAACTAGCTGGACCTTTAAGAATGGGTGTTATGCTTGTACGCTTAGTTGTCTGACTCTTTAAGACCCACTGGACTGTAACCTGCCAGGTTCCTCTGTCCATAGGATTCTTTAGGCAAGAATAGTGCCATTTCCTTCTCTAGGGGATCTTCCCAACCCAAGGATCAAACCCAGACTCCTAAGTCTCCTGCATTGCAGGCAGATTCTTTATCTACTGAAGCTATCGGGAAGCCCATAGATTTACATAAATGGAGAGAATGGAACTCATCGACTTCTGGATGAGTTAGCAATGGTATCTTGAGCTTGATGAATTTGGGAGATAATTGAGTACCAGTATGACTAAAATATGGACTTCCCTGGTGACTCAGTGGTAAAGAATTTGCCTGCAATGCAGGAGACATGGATTCAATCCCTGGGTTGGGAAGATCCCCTGGGGAAGGAAATAGCATCCTACTCCAGTATTCTTGCCAGGAAAGTTCTATGGACAGAGGAGCCTGGCAGGCTACAGTACATGGGGTCGCGAAACAGTCAGGTACAACTTAGCTGCTAAAACAACAACCCGAAACAGCATGACCGAAGCAGGTGGTATTCTTAGAAAACAGTGATCTCATTGTTTTCTCAAAATCGACAAATTAGACTCAGATCAGAGCAGAAATGATTTTGAGTGCCAGGCAAGACTTGTAGACTCTTTCCTTTAAGTAAAAGGGAATCAGCCTAATGAAAACAGCAACATCCATTTCATTTTTGTGTCTACTTGGAGAATATTTTTGCTCTATTTTCTTTGGTATATGTTTTGGTATATGTGTAATTTCATGTTTTTACATCATTTGTGACATGTCAAAAAAAAATTCTGAAATGTTAACCTTTGCATCCCAAAGTTAACTTTTGCTGAAGACTTCCACTAAATTTTCTGTGTAGAACCTAATGCTATAATTTTTAAAAATTATATTGATAATTTATAAATTATATTTATAAAAAGCTGTAAGAAAATAACATAATGAGACTAATATTTCAAGAATTATAGGCCTAGAAAGAAATTATAGTAGGTCTTATAGTCAAATTGCTTGTGAAATATTACTGTCATACTTTCTCAAGATTCTTCTGAGGAGTAACTGCCATAGACTGGTTTAAAATATTAAGCTCCATTGTCTTGTGAAATAATTAGGAAATTTAAATACGTGTTGAAGAGTCTAACCTTCAAATACATTAAAATTAGATATTTCCTCAGTTCAATACACTAAGGTTAACTGAGAATTAAACTTGAGTGCCAGCATGACCACAATAAAATAGGTTTATTTCCTGTTGAAATCAAGATCTTGTTTGTCATTATCACCTTTGTTAAAAGTTTTTTTATAGATACTAATATTGACTCATGGACAGCTAATGCTTTAATTAAGTTGTTAGTATATTTAAAATTTCTCCTTTATGAAAATCTTTATAACTAAGTCACCTATAAGAAGCATGAACCTACTAATGCTTTTGACTTTTGGTCATAATCTTAAATTTGGATAGTGTTTTTTAACCTTCTTCCCTTCCTTGCAAAACTCTATCTTAATAATGCCATTTATTGAGTACTTATATGCACTCTAAAATCAACTGCAATGGTGATAGCAGCCATGAAATTCAAGACAGTTGCTTCTTGGAAGGAAAGCTATGACAAATCTAGACAGTGTATTAAAAAGCAAAGACATCACCTTGCCAACAAAGATCCACATAGTCAAGGCTATACAGTCCTTCCGGTAGTCATGTATAGGTGTGAGAGTTGAACCATAAAGAAGGCAGAGCACTGAAGAATTGATGTTTTTACACTGTGGTGCCAGAGAAGACTCTTGAGAGTTCCTTGGACTGCAAGGGAGTCAAACCGGTTGGTCCTAAAGGAAATCAACCCTGAATACTCATTGGAAGAACTGATGCTGAAGCTGAAGCTCCAATAATTTGACCACCTGATGCGAAGAGTGGACCCTGGAAAAGATTCTGATGCTGGGAAGTACTGGAGGCAGAGGGAGAAGAGGGCGACAGAGGATGAGATGGTTGGATGGCATCACTGATTCAGTGGACATGAACTTGGGCAAACTCCGGAAGATTGTGAGGGACAGGGAGGCCTACCGTGCTGCAGCCCATGGTGTCGCAGAGTCAGACGTGACTCAGTGACTGAACAACAACAACTA